CTAATTTTTATTTCGTTAAAGATTTTTCTTTTCAAAAACAAATATAACTTAAATTTGGGCGGGTGGGTCATCGTTATTTTGCGCATTTCCCCTCATTTGTTTGATACGAAAAAAATTTTGCACATTACCTCTCAACAATTACATACACAAAAAAACGTAAATATATATGCTACGTATTATATATAGAGATTATTCTGTTGAGATTATTTTATATAAGAAAATTAGTGAAAAATTAATTTTGCGATTTTATTTAATACATTCCTGGAGGTACTCGTTTTTTCAAAAATTTTTTTAAAAAATAACCGAAAATCTTATTTTCATTTCAAGTGCAGAAACTCTCCGCTTATTATAATTATAAATGTTAAATGGTGGATTCGTTTTGATTGAAGAAAAGAGAAATACATTTAAGGGTTTTAATAATCCAAATCGGAAGCGGATAGGAATTAATTTAATGATTGCTTTAAAAAACAGAATTTAACATTTAACTTTCCAGTAGAACAACGTTAATTCAGAATTGTTTTACAGTAGAACAAAGATACAGTTTCAACATTAATGATTGGCTGAAAATGTAATTAAAATTCATCATGTATGATTACACTCGAACAAACGTAATATTTCAACGTTAATGATTGGTTGAAAATACATTATAAATTCAGAATTGGTTTACAGTAGAACGAAGATAATATTTCAATATTGATTGGTGGAAAAAGCAGTTAAAATTCAGAATTTATGCTCATAGTAGAACAAAGAAAATATTTCATTTTTAATGATTGGTTGATAATGCAATTAGAACTCAAAATGTTTGTAAATGATTGGTTGTAAATCAATTAGAATTCAGAAAATATTTTCACAGTGAAGCATATGTTTATCATCGTTTGTTCAAGAAAAATTTAAATTGAAATTTCCGCATTAGATTATTTAGTGATATATTTCAGCTTCATGATCGCTTTTTTAGCAGACAACATTTTTAATCTGACTTTTTTAAAACATTTCATCCCAAGCAAGGCCTTAGTGCCACTAGCACGCAAGGGTTTAGATACGGTGCAGAATAAGAGTAAAGTGGCGCGTTTGGTGAGTGGATAAAGAGACAGGAAGTGCGAAAAGAAGCTGTTTGTGTAGAAGAGACGGTTATATTTAACCTTTTCGACAGTGAAAGTGTGGGACCGAAATGCCAACCTAGTAGCTCGCTTAAATTTATGCAGTTTGGGAATTATTATTTATTATTATTACGATAGATAGATAAATAGATATGAACACACTAATATATATATATATATATATATATATATATATATATATATATATAATTAAAAGGCTTAAACACTAATATTCCATGGTCATAATTTATTCCATTACTATATCTATATATATATATATATATATATATATATATATATATATATATATATATATATATATATAGAGAGAGAGAGAGAGAAATATGAAGAAATTGAGATAGATAGATAGATAGATAGATAGATAGATAGATAGATAGATAGATGGATGAAAACTGACTGAGACAGGCAGGCAAAGAGAGACAAAGAGAGACAGACAGACAGACAGACAGACAAATATATTGATCGAGATAGATATGAGACATAAGCTTAGATGATAAAAGAAGCCACCCACGACCGGGGACATTGACAATGTCATTTTGATAAGTCGCAAATGGTGAAAGGTTTCATTACCATTACAGAAAAATTCTAAATGGATAAGAAAATCGACTATGTTCTGGTGGCGAACTTGTGTTATCGGGGATAGATAACAGCCACTTAATGCTGGCGAACATCTAATTAACAAACCACAGACCGGCTAGGTAAAAAAAACTCCGAGACAATTGACAATGTTATTTTGATAATGGAAAAGATAGTGAAAATTCTGACCACCAGTGTCGTAGAACTGTCTGACAAAGAACAGGTGAATACAGAGCTTTGGATAGATAAGAAAAATTAACTGTGTCAAAGGGGGCAAACAATATTGTCGGGAAAGGATTTAATAGGTTGTCTGCTAACGGAACACGAAGCCAACCCTGGGTCACGTCTTGGCCGTTTTGACAAGACATCTATGGGTGTTAGAATTCGGTTGTGATAACAAAACTATGTTATCAGAAATTGGCACCAAGAATGCAAATACGACTAGAACAATGGAACTGTTTTTTCGAGACGACGGTCGACTGTGTTTTCGTTAGACGACTACCCCACTTGATAATTGGCATTGATGGATCCCAGGTGACAGTGGGGGGATGAGAGCTGCGATTAAGGAAAGAAAAGAAAAAGATAATTTTTTTTGAGCAAGATATATTTTTTTTCTTCCTAAAACAAAGCCAGCCGGATCACACACACCCGGCTGGATGCCATTGGCCGAATGATAACGAGGGCCAGGCGGAGGTGATCACGTGACGCAAGGAGGGAAGCCGCCGCCGCCCATTTAGAGGATAGGTATGAGAAGTTGCTACGAAGAAGTGGGGGGAACCGTTGACGCCCCTCTGAAATATGGTGAGATATCCATTTGAGAATAAGAGAAGTTGGGAGTAATAAAAGACTTCCAAAAATGGAAAGGAGTGGAAAAATCCTAACCAAAAATAAAAGAAGTGGGTATGGATTTAGAATTATCGAGGAACCTCCAACCCCGACAAACCCACTCCGGTTTTGGTCGGCGTCCAGAAGTCAAAGTCGCAACGAGCAAAAATCAGTTCAGAGAACAGTTCAGAGAACAGTTCAGAGTTCAGTTGAGTTGAGTTCAGTTCAGAGGAGTTCAATCCAGAGTGCTCAGTTGAAGCAGGCCTCGCAGCTGACTAAGATTCGCGCAACTTCCGAACTCATCTTCAATCCAAGAACAATTTATTTTTAAGAGCGACTTAGATACATACCACCAAAATAAGTTTTTTGACTATCGCCTGAAGACACACCAAGAACCAATTTCTTAAAGAACAGACAACTTAAGATGTTAAAACTCACCTAACAAAAACAGCGTGTCACAATCCATTTACCGGGTCGGGAGATAGACGCAGTCCTATGTATCCAGCAACCAGATATAAAGTATTGTTATCCTTTTTTTTGATACCTTGAACTTTTGAGTTATCATTTTATTTCTTTTAAACATATTTGTGCGATACTACCCTCGCTTGAACTCAACTTGCATTACGGCCCCAACGACTGATTGATTCCGTCTGCCTAAGATCAATTCACAACGTGGGTAGGTGGACTGGGGATCAACGCAGTTACTTTGGTAACCAGACGTTGGAAGCGAGTTGGGAACGACGAGGCTGATATCGGATCTGACAAGATTCCCATCCGAATCACCAAAAGGTTAGAACGTCACATTTGGGTGCCACGACCAATACCAAGCCGGACGGGACGACACGACTGACGCAGACAGGCGGACGTCACGTTTGGAGCGGCGACACCCGAACGAAGCAGCGAGGAGCGAGCGAAGGCTGTGTTGCGGGACATCACATGAACTCTACATAGAAATTTAAATTTCTCTGCTTACAGCGGTCGGAAGTAAACTCCTGGTTTGAATGAATAAATTGTTCTTAAACAGCCCGTGTCTTCCGATCAAGAAAGCATTATCAAAATCGTCAAGGTCCATATCGTTTTAACAGATTAACTCTCTCTCTCTTAGCATTTGTCTAGGCTTACCTCTTTTGTTGGCTTACGGGATATATTATTCATAATTCCTGAGAATGTGTTCACTTCGGGAAAAAGGACAAACATAATTGTCACTTAATTAAACATCAACATCACCTGAACTTTGAAAAAAAAAACTTTCATTAATCAGCTTATCTACAAATCTTTTTCATTCTTGTCTCGTTAGATTAAAACTGTTCTTCAATTCATTCTTCCACCATTTCTTCTTCTTCTTCTTCTTCTTCTTCTTCTTCTTCTTCTACTACTACTACTACTGATTCTTCTTCTTCTTTTTCTACTACTACTACTGCTACTGCTGTTGCTTCTTCTTCTTTGCCTTCTTCGTTTTTCTACTACTTTTTTGTTTCATCTACTTCTTTTTCATTTTCTTCTTCTTCTTCTTCTACTACTACTACTACTGCTGCTGCTACTACTACTGCTTCTTCTTTTTCTTCTTCTTCTTCTACTACTCCTACTACTACTACTACTGATTCTTCTTTTTCTTCTACTACTACTACTACTACTGCTGCTACTACTACTGCTTCTTTTTCTTCTTCTACTACTACTACTACTACTGCTGCTACTACTACTGCTTCTTCTACTCCGACTACTACTGATTCTTCTTCTTCTTCTTCTACTACTACTACTGCTGCTACTACTACTACTACTGCTTCTTCTTTTTCTTCTTTTCTTCTTCTTCTACTACTACTACTACTACTACTGATTCTTCTTCTACTACTACTACTACTACAATTTCTTCTTCCTCTACTTCTTTTTCTTCTTCCTTTACTTCTTTTTCTTCATCATCTTCTACTTATTCTTCTTTTCTTCTTCTTCTTCTTCTCCTCCTTCTACTACTACTACTGCTATAATTTCTTCTTCTTCTTCTACTTCTTTTTCTTCATCATCTTCTATTTCTTCTTCTACTACTACAATTTCTTCTTCTTCTTCTTCTTCTTCTTGCCCCAACACTTTATAAACAAAGTCGTTTTTTACCGTACTGGCTTGTATCGTGCGAATTTTGATAATTAGCTTAAAGAGGTTACAAAATTATGCATTATCGGAGACCATAAGCCACTTGGTAGGTCTATCTTCTAAGGGTACTATTGGTTAACCTTAACAACAGAGGTAAGCTCCTTTAGCTTACCCTCCCGCCACGTAGCGTACGCGGAAATGAAAACAAAAGTGCGGTATCTAAATATTTTTAAAAATTATATTAAGTTGATTTTTCACTAGTTTGGGGTGGCTCGTATTGAATTCCAAAGAAACATGAATCAGTGAACATGTTCGTACTTCGTATATATATATATATATATATATATATAAGATAGATAGATAGATAGATAGATAGATAGATAGATATCAATAGGATTAGATAGATAGATGGATAGAAAGAAAGAAACAGGATGATAAAAATAAAAGAAAAGAAAGAGGAAACAGGATAGATAGATAGATAGATAATGAATAATAGAAACAGGATGATATATATATATATATATATATATATATATATATATATATATAGATAAGAAAGAAAGAAACAGGATGAGATAGATAGATAGATAGATAGATAGATAGATAGATAGATAGATGAATAGGTTGAGAGCTAGCTAGCTTTTTATCTAGCTAACTAGATAGCTACAAACAAGATTAGATAGATAGATACAAACAGGACGAGACAGATAGATAGATAGATAGATAGATAGATAGATAGATAGAAAGGAAGAAATGAAAAGTGTGTTATAGATAGATTACGAGCTTCCTCACAAGTGAGACATTAACAAAATACGAGAAAGGACAAAAAAGAGAAAAGAAAGAAGCGTGAATAGCACTCACAGATTGATTACAATTGAAAAGCAAAACAATGTCTAACAATGTAATCGAACACGTGTTTCTTCCCATGACACCAAAGACTACTTACGTTTGAAGCAAAAGTGTACCAGAGAACCGCGAAAAAGAAAACGCACAAATTATCACGCCCATTCTTCTGTCGGCTTTTCACAAATCAAGACATCGATTATTTTTTTTTCTTTATTTACATTTTAATGGTTGCAAAAGCTCTCCTTCGAAAGTCGCCGGTGACAAACATCGATCCGTAAAATCGTCTATACAGCTGGTAACACGCGCGTGCATAATGGAACGCTTTGCGCATGCGTTTGGATATCGAACACACGTGACTATGAAGATGACAAGCCTTTCAACAATGCTGACTGTGAATCATTACGAAGCTTAATTGTTCTTGGTACTTGAATTTGAGGTTCTTAACCTTATGTCTGCAGTGCCTCTATTAAGATATTTATTGAGGTTTGTGCCCTCTATGTTGATATGATAAATAGCCAGAGGGAATGCCACAGGGTTAATATCAGACGATTAAGCTTTGTTGCATGAGAGAAGGGTCAGTGACCTAATGTCGACTGTGCTGAGAACACAGCAGGGGTCACCGGGTCAGAAAATAAACGACGCCGAATTTGCAGCTTTATGGCAGGAAACCTACATTGCTTTTGTTTCCTTTCTTTCACCATACCGTCACTTTTAGACCCACTAGAGTAACAAGGAGTAATCGATTTTTATTCTTACCTCAGATTAAGTCATTTGAAGTAGTGTGCATTAATATGAATCTATTTTCGGGGTGTACGATGGAATTTGTTTGGAAAAAAAAAACAAAACAAAAAAAACGCGCCGTTCGTGATAACATCAGATTTTTACTACGCACAGACACTATTGTCTCAATTGTCGATTATTTGTCCTACGGCGATTGTCTGCGATGAAAGTTACCCCAAGGAAGCGTACGAAAATTGTAAAACTGCACGAACACGCTAGCATGCCTTACCAGTGGACAAATAAAAGTACTTTTTGGCCCGGAAACTCTTGATTTAAATCCAATCGAGAATCTGTGGTCAGTCTGCAAGGAACGACGACGTTGAATGGACATACGAAGTACTAATATGTGCACTGGACCATGCTTCATTGGAAAAAAAATACTAAAGAACTAATAACAGAATTATTCGTTTTGTTTCGATTACTTTATACAAGGGAGTACATGGCCTTAGTGTTTATAATCCGGGAAATATGCAAGGGGCAAAGGAATGATTCCTTGAATTCCCAGATGATTCTTTCATGTGCTTTCGACTTTCATTACTGCACTCCTTTAGCTACATTATTCTTTTATCGCCATATCGCAAAACTGCAATGTATTAGACAAAAATTTTGAGAGTATATAATGCTCTCTCTCTCTTTCTCCCTCTCTTTCTGTCTTTCTTTCTCTCACCCCTTGTCTTTCTCTCCCCATTCAGCTGCGAACATTTTTTTTTTTTTTGTTTCGTGATTTTAATGTCAAGTTTAACATTAGTGATGTTGCCGATATTCAAGGCGTTTCAATTTTGACGTCGCTCGGTCTGTAACGCAGGTAGTGGATTTACTGACTTGTTTCCCGTTGGTCTGAATATGCCAAAGATATTTGACAGGGTTTAGCATGACGGACATCTTCGCAAATTGAAAGTTTTGGGCGTTCCGGGAAGAATTTTTTAAGTGATACAGTCTTTCTTAGCAAATCAGCAAATGAAGGTCATCCCGAACGGCCACTCTTCTATATCTTTCTACAGTAATGCAGGAGTTCTATGCTGTTTCTAATTTCCATCAATAACAATACAGAGGCCGTCAGTTCTCAATTCTATATCAATACTGATGTTACAACCATTTACTACTGTCTTAATAATAATAATAATAATAATAATAATAATAATAAGGCTGATGTGTTCGATACCAAATCAGCAACTGTTCTAAAAAAAAAACATACAATCTTTTCTTAACTGGGGTTAAGTAATGTCTTGCTAATTTTAACACTTCCAAAAACAAAACCACTCTCTATCAATCATCGGAGAAATCTTCTGACTTTCATCAGCATGGATGTTGCCAAACTCCAGGAAAGTTACTCATTGTGCCTTCACGAAATACCATTTACCACTGAGATGAAGTGGAAATATTATATTGAAACAAATTCCTTGGTGTACAGGCAAAGGAAGTTGGTTTACTTTGTCATGGGAGATAATTTTTCGTTCCAGAATCTATCTTATATATTTATAAGACTACCAATGTCAATTATTTGAACATTACTGCCACACCTTTTCCTGTGCTTCTGCTATATATTTAGAGATTCTTGAAAACATCCAAAATAGAATCTAAAATGTTACTGGTCTTGACCTGGCATCTCGGCTTCAGTCACTTTCCCATCGCCGTAATGTATTTTCGCTGTGATATTTTCTATAAATATTTTCATGGTAATTGTTCTGACGAAATATCTTCTCTGGTACCTGGATTCTATTAATTTCAGCGCAGTACTAGATTGGCGGCTAGGTCTCATTATTTTACAGTTGAAAATGTCGAGATGGAAACCTAAGTTCTATGCAAACATTTTTTCTCGCACTTCTCGCTTGGGGAACATTCGGTTTCTTGTTTTTCAGTCCATTTTGATCTTCAAAAACTAAAATGCATTGTCAATCGTTATTTTCTGATTTCTTGTTATTTTATTATACCTGTATATATCTAGTTCCTTCTTGCATATATACAGGTATATATATGTACATATATGTATTTTTTTCCACCTATTCTTATTGTACCTTTCTCTGTTTTAATTTTGAATCTCCTGTGGAAGCCTGATGAGCGGGAGCGAAACCGGTTGCTTCCACCCCTTGTTGAGTTTTTTTATTATTTAATATTGTTTTAATATGTCTTGTAATATTAAATTTTACACTTTTATTTCGATCATTAAATTTTGTACCTACAAAAATATCTTTTTATATATATATATATATATATATATATATATATATATATTGATATATATATAGATATTGATTGGTATATATATATATATATATATATATATATATATATATATATATATATATATATATATATAATGATATTGATTGGTGTATATATATATATATATATATATATATATATATATATATATGGTGCATCAAAATAATTTTACAATATTTTGGGGCCGCTCCTGTCCAGATATGGCAGGAATAGACCATTTTTAGCCTGATCTTGCGCTTATGAAGCACGAGGAGTCAGGGACTTACTGAAAGGGTACAGGGAGACGATCATTTTACCTGCATCGTTTGCTATGGATCGTATATAGAAATTCCATTTGTGACCGGCTATGAGTTTGAGGCCCAATATCCTCATGCAACACGGGACCCACTCGAAGGGACATCCGCTGATCGTGACTTGTGGTAATTCGGGGTCTGATCGATGGTCATGGAATGTAACCTGTTTCGTTTTATAAGCATTGAATGTGACCATCTCGTTTTTCCCCACCCAGAGCTAAGTGTAAGATCGGAAGATAGGTCATATGCCAATCTCTGATCGTCAAGAGATTTAAATGTACACCACCACCATATGTTTTTTGATAATTATCTATCTATCTATCTATCTATCTATCTATCTATCTATCTATCTATCTATCTATCTATCTATCTATCTCAGTATGTTCATATCTATCTATCTATCTTAATATATATACCTCAGTCTGTACATATCTATCTATCTATCTATCTATCTATCTATCTATCTCAGTATGTTCATATCTATCTATCTATCTATCTTAATATATATACCTCAGTCTGTACATATCTATCTATCTATCTATCTATCTATCTATCTATCTATCTATCTATCTATCTCAGTATGTTCATATCTATCTATCTATCTACCTATCTATCTATCTATCTATCTATCTATCTATCTATCTTCATATATACCTCAGTCTGATCTTATCTATCTATCTATCTATCTATCTATCTATCTATCTATCTATCTATCTATCTTCTATATGTATCTGTTCTATCCATCTATCCATCTCAGTATGTATCTATCTATCTATCTATCTATCTATCTATCTATCTTCATATATATCTCAGTCTGTTCATATCTATCTATCTATCTATCTATCTATCTATCTATCTATCTATCTATCTATCTTTTTATCAATGTCTGTTATGTTATATGTCGCCATGTTTTAAACAGACATAATCATTTACGATAATCGACCTATTCCCAACTGAATAAAACTCCATTGTCCAGGGCGGAGATTAACACTAAAAAATGAATATTTTATTTAAAATAAATCTCTCGGCATGGGAGTAAAGATGTTTTAGACGCAAACGCCATTGAAATGGACTCAAATTCTGTTCCCTCAACATCAACCTGTTGACATCTTGTGACATAAGCGTGAAACAGGTAAATATTTCACGAAATATTCTATAACTTGGAAAAGTAGAGCTCTCTAGTAATCATTAAAATCATTCTATCTCTAATATATATATATATATATATATATATATATATATATATATATACTATATATATATGTGTGTGTGTGTGTATATATATAAATAATATATATATAAAATATATAAAATATATATATATATATATATATATATATATATATATATATATATATGTCGAGGAACCTAAATGAAATAATAATTAAAACGAAAAAATATTAATCTACAAACCAGTGTGTCTGAAGATTTTAATTTTTTAATATTTTTCATTGTTCAATATATATATATGTTGCCATCCAAGGCTATAGAACCCAGTCTGTCCTGCTATTTACCCATAGCTGGAGGGAGCAGAGAATTAATATCTTTCCCAAGGGTATTTGCACGTAAGTTAATGTAATGGATTCGAATATGTATCTCAGTCTTCATTTATATCTATCTATCTATCTATCTATCTATCTATCTATCTATCTATCTATCTCAGTCTATTCATATCTATCTATCTATCTATCTATCTATCTATCTATCTATCTCACTCTCTTCACATCTATCTATCTATCTATCTATCTATTCGGTTGCTCGGAAAATAATGTCCGGATCCAGAATAAAACTCTTGTTTTCTAAAATATTACTCTTCGAATAGTTTAACAAAAATATATTACTCATTTCAAATGTCTTCTTTGTTAATTAATTATATGTCAATCTCTTAGCGAATTGTGTTCTCAAATGCGTGATGCATCTTGTGCATATACTGAAAAAATTGTATTAAGTTGTTCGGAAAATAATGTCCATTTTTAAGACAACCTTTTTTAATGTGTTTTAATATATAATTATATTTGTTGTACAAAAATATATT